CTTTGGCTCTTAGAGTGGACACAGGGCATAGTGTGGCTGTGCTGGGTTCCCAGAGCCTTGCCAAAATGCCAGTACAACAACTCTTGGCCCTTGTGAGGACCAGAGATCAGGATAGTGCCACAGTCTTTGGGGGTGTCCTGGGCCAGCTGTTCCAAGGTGAGAATCTTGTCCCCAGCCTTGGGGATTTTGCTGCAGGAGCAATTGTTCATGTGCAGTGCACATACCTTCAGTTTGGGCACCTCCTGAACCCATTATGGTCCCCACAACCACAGCTGTTTTGCTTTCCTAGCCAGGAAGTTTCATCTTCCAGATTATCCAGGAAAGAGACAGAGATGGCCACTTGGTGCAACTCATAAATAATCTCTTCAGCACAACTTGGTTGAAGGTGGAGTTTCTCTTGGCCAGAAACACATACAGCTTAACCAACAGCCTTTGGTAGATGTCCTGGCTTTTGGGCCCCTGGTGTTGAATGTTTCATTCCTTGTTGTGGCAGTAGACTTCCATGATGGTGCCTCCTGCTCATCCAGGTCCAAAAGAAGTCTTGCTTTTTATCTGACAATCTTTGCCTTTTAAGTAGGACATTTAGATAATATACATTTAATGTGATTGCTGGTATGATTAGAGTCTATCATCTTGCTGTTTTTCTATTAGTTTCACCTCTTATTTGTTCCTTTTCCCTTTTTTTTCAATCTTCTTTTGGGTTGAGTAATTTTTGTGTGTGATTCTATCTTACCTCCTTTGTTGACTTATTAGCTATAACTGTATTATTATTTTACTGGTTGTCTTAGGGCAGTATACATCTTCAAACTGCCACAATCTACCTTCAGTCTACTTGATATTAAAGAGTTATGTGTTTTCTTATGTCTGAAAACATCTTTATTTTGCCTTTGTTTTTTGAATTGATGTTTTGCTGGGTATCAAATCCTAGGTTTACATTTTTTTTTCTTTCAGAACTTTATGTTCTACTGTCTCTTCACTTGCAATGTTTCTGATGAGAAATCTGCTGTCAAACTTCATTACTCTATAACATGTATTTTCTCTGGCTGCTTTCAATATATTTTATTGGTTTTGAACAATTTGATTATGACATTCCTTGGTGTAGTTTTCTTCTTGTTGAGCTTCTAGAATCTGTGAGTTAATAGTTTTTGCCCAATCTGAAAATTCTGACCATTATTTTTTCAAATATCCCGTTTGTATCTGCCTCTCCTCTCCTTTGATGTCTCTGATTATGTATACATAAGGCTTCTGGAGGTTTGTCCCATAGCTCACTGATGCTTTTGTCATTCTTTTCTTTCTCTTTCATTTTTGAATAGTTTATTTTTCTGTATCCTTCAAATTCACTAACCTTTTCTTCTGCCATGTCTAATCTGCTACAAATACCATTAGTAGATCTCAGATATTGTAGTTTTCATCCCTAGAACTGCATCTTGGGTTTTTAAAAATGTCTTTCATGTTTCTACTTTCTGAAAATATAGAATATAGCTATAATAATGTTAAATGTCTTTACTAATTCTATTATCTTTCTATGTTTAAGGTCACTTTCAGATGACTGATTATTCTCATCATTGTGGATCATTTTTCTGGCTTCTTTGCATGCCTGGCAAGGCATTATGAATTTTATCTGTTGGTTGCTGAATATTCTTCTGTTCCTCTAAATGTTCCTGAGTTTTGTCCTGGAATGCAGTTAAGTTACTTGGAAAAGTCTGATTCTTTGGGTCTTATTCTTGTGATTTGTGAAGGCGTGCTCAGTTTGTGGCTCATTACTTAGGGATTAATAATGCAATAGCTAAATAATATACTTCAAGGCAATCTTTAAGTTTAGGATTTAGCCCTACAAAAGACTTACTACATGATCTTAGCAACATAGTTAATCCTCTGATAAAAAACATGAAAATAATAATTTCAGAAAAATTCACTTTCATTAAAAACTGCAAAGTGCTTGAAAGACAAAGTGAGAGGGAGAGAAACTGAGAACAGTGGGTACTTCACAGATTAATTTTGTGAGTAAAAATGACTTAAGAATTGATCTCTAAAATATGAATGTATTTCATTCTGAGAATAGTGGTTAAAAACAGAGACATTAGGGGCAGACAGACTTGGATGCACATCAGACTCCTCCACGCATTATAACTCAACATATATGAACCTCAATTATCTCATCTATAAAATGCCATGTTCTTTTACAAAGTAATCTTGAAGAACAAAAGCTGTTAATTTCACCAATTAAAATATACAGAAAAAAGGAACTTAACCATTCCCTGACAAGCAAACTATACATCTAAATTATATATCCAAATATTCTCCCCTTTTCTGTCTACCTTACAATTTTCAAATGGTTTTGAATCAACAAACATTCACAATTTAAAGAACACATCCCTAGTGAGACTATGATTCAAACCCTATATGATTCAAACCCTGTACACAGATTATCCTTGCTTATTTCCTTGTAATACAGCTATTCTGTCTATATCAGCTTAATAACACTTAATTCTAGAGCCCCATAATTTTTCAGTTGAATATAAAAGATAATGCTATCTCAAATAGATTCCATTGCTAAAATTAAATTCCATGTAACTCTATGTACAGACAGCATACTGTTGAATTGAAGCAGTCCAAAGTGAATTAATGCTTAAGCCCATAGCTGACAACATAAGTCCATTATTCTTCAACAAATCTCACTTGAAAAAAGTCAGGTAAAATCATTTCAATTCCTAAAGCATGTATGAGCTTTTATGGCCAAATATGTCTTCTTCAAGAAGACAGTACAAAAGTTATATGAATCCCTTTTGTTTTATTCTACCAATCGCTTGTTTGAACACTGTCACCTATTAGCAATTTTTTTTTTTTTTTTTTTTTTTTGCCTAGTAACTGGAACTGAAAACTTACCACACAGGATAAACCAGGTCACTCTGTAACTCTGGAATTGTTTTTAGGTTTTTTAAAAAGTAATAAAACTCATAATTTGGTAAGCATTTTAGAATAACATTAGATAGGAATCTTCAAGAATTGGAAATCAAGAATCTCTGCTAACTCATTTTTGTGACTTAATTCTTTTTCTGCCATGAAGGCTTTATTTCAGAAGTATTGATTTGCTTATTTTTACTCCAGTTTTTTCATATTCCAGCAGCCTCTTTCATGTCTATCAATTCCTTTCTAAAATTCTACTGTTCTGAGCTCTGAGCTTTATGTGCCAAGCTTGAGAAACAAACTCTAATAAGTAGTCACCCCTTTGTATCTTGGAGAGTACTAAAATATTCTTAACCTTTTGATTCTGAGAACTGCAGTGCTTGGGAGTTACCCCCAAAAAAGGTAGGAAGAAGAAAGGAAAGCTGAAGGGAAGGAGAGAAAGAGGGAGAAAAAAAAAAAAGAGACCGTTCTTAGGATGGCTTAAAGTGGTTTTGTGGGGGCAGGTAGGAGTAAGTCTTATCTCTTATATGTAACTGTTTTCCTTTTGGTGTAATTGGAAAGACCTTCAACTAGGAGTTAAGAAACCCAGACTTTAGTTCCAATTTTGCAACTATCCTTCAATGTGGTCAACAATCTCCTGAAATGGGACCAAGCATGAAGAGCAAAATTATTACACCTGAGAGGGTTTCCAAGTCTCAAGAGTCATAATGCATGGATAGTTGAGAAGCTGATACTCTTTGGAAAGGTGGGACTATGGCCCTAGCCAGCACATGAAATCATTCACTTTATTTGTACAATAAGATTGTCTCATGGCATTAATAATGATGAAGTATATATGATTATTAGGGCAAATATAATATAAAAGGATACTTCTGAATTTTTACTTTGTGAATTTCAGTTTCTGTAACACTCTCACATTTGACGAGGGTGAGCATCAATCAGTCTACTTCTTGACATACACTACTATATACAGCCCTGGCTAAACCATAAAAGAAAAATGGAGGCTGGGTATGATGGCTCACACCTGTAATCCCAGCACTTTGGGAGGCCAAGGAAGGCGAATCACCTGAGGTCAGGAATTCAAGATCAGCCTGGCCAACATGGCAAAACCCGTCTCTACTAAAATACAAAAATTAGCCAAGGCGTGGTGGCGCACACCTATAATAATCCCAGCTATTCGAGAGACTGAGGTATGAGAATCACTTGAACCTGGGAGGCAGAGGTTGCAGTGAGCCAAGATCATACCACTTGACTCCAGCCTGGGAGACAGTGAGACTTCCATCTCAAAAAAAGTAATAAAAAAAGGCCAGCTGCGGTGGCTCATGCCTGTAATCCCAGTACTTTGTTAGGCCAAGGTGTGTGGCTCTCTTGAGGTCAGGAATTCAAGACCATCCTGGCCAACATGGCCTTGAATGTTGGCCTCATCTCTACTATAAATACAAAATAGGTGTGATGGTGTGCACCTGTAATCCCAGCTACTTGGGAGGCCGAGGCAAGAGAATTGCTTGAACCCATGAGGTGGAGGTTGCAGTGAGCCAAGATTAGGCCACCGCACTGCAGCCTGGGTGACAGAGCAAGACTCTAGCTCAGAAAAAAAAAAAAAAAAAGAAAGATGAAAAGAAGCATATTATTCAACTATTAGCTGAGAACCTTGCCTCTGAAAGTCCTGCTTGGGACAAGGCGGACTTTTGGTGTATCAGCAGGGGTTAAAAGCCACTGAATAAACATGGTGCATCTCCTTAGATATCAACCTCCCTCAGAGATTTTGAAAAAATGTATAATCAAGCCAGGCACAGTGGCTCATGCCTGAAATCCCAGCACTTTGGAAGGCTGAGGTGGGCGGATCACGAGATCAGGAGATCCAGACCATCCTGGCCAACATGGTGAAACCCCATCTCTACTAAAAATATAAAAATTAGCTGGGTGTGGTGGTGCGTGCCTGTAGTCCCAGCTGCTCGGGAGGCTGAGGCAGGAAAATCACTTGAACCTGGGAGGTGGAGGTTGCAGTGAGCTGAGATCACACCACTTCACTCCAGCTTGGTGACAGACCGAGATTCCATCTCAAAAAAAAAAAAAGAAAAAAAAGTGTAATCATTATATTTTACTAAATATAGGCACATTTGGTATATAGCACTATAGTTACATTAAATTTAAGATAAAACATGAAGCTAAAGAAAATTCTGGCTTGGAACCAAGTTGTTAAGACAATTGTTCAGTCTTCTCTGCTATTAACCATACTTTTGTGAAAAAGTTTGAGGTGCAGTGATTTTGATGACTATTCAACATTGGTACATTAATACCTCTACTAGTTATGAAGGTGGATGGTGGTGATGGTTACAACATTATGAATGTATTTAATACCACTGAACTGTATACTTGATAATGGTTAACTTGATACACTTTATGAGTATTTTGCTACAGTTTTTAAATTTATGGAAAAAAAACCTCTACTAAAGTTGAATATTATCAACAAATGTTTTAAGAGGTTTTTCTTTAACTTAAATATGCATTTCTGAAATGACTACTATATCCTGTATTCAGCTCATGAATCATCTCTTACTGTGCTCATGAAAACTATACTTGATTCCAAGTTTTAAAAATACCCATCATTCTTCTTGTGAAGAAAGACTTGTATTTAACAGTTCTCACTTGTGTGGCTGACAGCATGCTTGTATCGGTCAACATCTGCAACGCTGTCCATTGTCCAGGGTCTCAATCCTGAATGGAATGCACATAGACAAGCCTGTTGGAAATGGCCCTAAAATAAAGATAAATAGTATCTCTATGAAGCCCCTACCAGAAAATCTTCTAAGAATCCTAAGAAAATAAGTAAGGCAAAAATTTAGCTATGCCAGATATGGTGACTCACACTTATAATCCCAACACTTTGGGAGGCCAAGGCGGGCAGATCAGCCGACGTCAGGAGTTCAAGATCAGCCTGGCCAACATGGTGAAACCCCATCTCTACCAAAAATACAAAACTTAGCCAGGCATGGTGGCTCCTGCCTATAATCCCAGCTACTCGGCAGGCTGAGGTGGCAGAATTGCTTGAACCCACGAGGCAGAGGTTACAGTAAGCCAAGATCGTGCCATTGCACTCCAGCCTAGGCAACAAGAATGAAACTCTGTCTTAAAAAAAAAAAAAAAAAAAAAAACAGCTATTAGATTTTTTGCTTTACCAGTAGAAAAAACTTGAGTGGAATCAATATAAATGCCCCAAAATAAGAACTGCTTAAATTATAGTACATCCTTACATTTCATAAGAAAATACTTATTTAGCCATTAAAGTATATAATGAATATTGCTAGGAAAAAATATATATAAACAACAAACAGGTATAAAGTTTAATAACAAAGGGTGTTGGGGTAGTTGTTTCTGGCTGATGGGATTATTTTTTCCTACATCCTGCTCATTCGTATTTTCTTTAATATCAATTGCTTATAATAAAATCTAAAGTTTTCTGAAATACTTATTCAACATGAGCTTATCATTCACTTACTAATTCAACAAATATTTTCATTTGTTGAATTAATTCAGACATACTTGTCCTCATGTATCTTAATTTATGAGAAAAAAAAAAGGCATGATGAAACAACATTGGGAATTTTTTACTCCTCTCTTTCATTTTCATTAATTACCCAGTCATTCCCTCTTGTTGAAGACTCTGGCCTTTTGCTAACAGTATCGGCTTCCGCTGCATTTTCTGCCATCACCTCCCACTTCAGTGTCCTTATGGAAAACGCATTGAGAAATTATGAACTCTGACTCCATAAAACCGCTTCATTCATCAATCCACACCCAAAGCTACACCCTCAACCTTCTGATAACTTGCATTCTTACCTAATTTTGACACCCATTCCTCAACTATTCTCATTTCTTCAACTACAGTCTCCCACATGCTTCATTATCTTTTCCTATCCAGCCTGGGTTCTCAGGTATATCACCCCATCCTGCTAGCAGCCTTCCTCCCTCATTAATTTCCTCTCCCATTACCTAGAACATGTATTTTGTACCATCTTACTTCAACTCAAACTTGCTACTTCACCTCTACCCTTATCTCTTTCATGACTCCTTTTTTTATTAAGTTTTTTTTTAAGTATCTTTTAAAAAATTTATATTTTTGAGACAGAGTGTCACTCTGTCACTCAGACTGGAATGCACTGGTGCCATCTCAGCTCACTGCAACATCTGCCTCCCGGGTTCAAATGATTCTCCTGAATCTGCCACCACAGGCATCTGCCACCACAGCCGGCCAATTTTTATATTTTTAGTAAAGATGGGGTTTCACCTGTTGGCCAAGCTGGTCTCAATCTCCTGACCTCAGGTGATCCACCCACCTTGGCCTCCCAAAGTGCAGGAATTACAGGCGAGAGCCACCGTGCCCCGCCTTTTTATGACTCCTTTATCAGAAAAAAAAAATAAACTATCAACTGTAAACTCCCTGTTATACATAAAACTATCTTCATCTGTTCCCTTCTAGTCTCAGAGGAAAAAGTATCCTTCCTCTTTTCCGGGTTAATTCCTTTACCTGCACCCTTATCTCCTACCAGATCTCGCTTTACTTTATCCTTTCTCTTTTTAATTCCTCCTCTCTGATGACTCTGTCCCCATACTTTATAAAAATGTTACCTCTCTTTTCCTGTAGATCCCCTCCTCTATTCTGTAAACTCCTCCCTACAATTATCATCCTCTGTTTTTAACAAAAAGTCAAGAGCCTTGAAATAATATAAATTTATAGTAACCTTTCTCTATTTTAACATACTTTTCAACTCAACACAGAATTCTGCTACCATTGTTTCATTCAAAGTTTTCTGGCAAACATAACTAATGACAGAACTGCCAAATCATTTGACCTTTTTCAGTTTACTTGGCCTGTCTTTACCTTCTGACACTCCTAACTTCTTTCCTTTTGAAACCTCTCTACCACAGGCTCCTATAACCCTGGGCTCTGTTGGTGTTACTGCCCCTCTCTCAGCCATTCCTTCTCAGTCATTTGCTGCTTCCTCTTACTTTGTCCATTTACTAATTTTGGTTCTCACTTCCTCTATGTTTAGTCTCTGTGAGGAACAGCATCCATTTTCTTCATAATCTCAACCAACACCTATTTAGTGATATCCATTCCCAGCCCAAGCCTTTCTCCCAAGCCTCAGTCGCGTATACTGAGCTCTTGACTGAACTTCTCTCCGTAGATATCCCATGGGTGCTTAATCGTTCATATTCAAAATGTCCTCACTGAACTTGTCATCTCCTTCCCCTGTCCCGGTGTTCCATCCCACACACTTAAACACACACACACACACACACACATTCATTCTCTCTCTCTCTATCTCTCTCTCTCTAGATATCAAAGTGTAGTTTTTCTGAAGAAGAGAAACAAGTAAACTATTCAATAAGGCTAAATAGATGAAACTCAATCATGCTAATGTACATAAAAGACAAACATGGAGTCGTCTTTGGTCAACTGAGAAAGGAGATGAGGAGAGAGGTATATTGTTAAGAGGCCTTCAGAAGCAATGCCTTCCAATCGTTCTTTTTTTCTTAGTTTTCTTTAATGTACATGTATTTTATAGTTAGTGGAGAAAATGTCCCAAAGCAAGTCTGCAGGTCTAGTATAAAGGGCAAATAAGATGGGTGCGGTGGTCCACGCCTGTAATCCCAGCACTTTGGGAGGTCAAGGTGGGAGGATCACTTGAGGGTAAGGAGTTTGAGATCTGCCCAGCCAACATGGTGAAACCCTGTCTCTACTAAAAATAAAAAAAATTTTTTAAATTAGCTGGGCATGGTGGCTCGAATCTAGCCTGTAATTCTAGCTACTTGGGAGGCTGAGGCACCAGAATTGTTTCAGCTGGGGAGGCGGAGGTTGCAGTGAGCTTAGATCGCACCACTGCACTCCAGCCTGGGTGATACAGCAAGACTATCTAAAAAGTTGTAATAATAAGCAAAGAAATTACAAGACCTCTGTTCTCCATACTACCTATATTTACCATTCATTTGCTAGTGGTTGCATTCCAGTTTCCAAGAGCAAAACCCCAGATTTTAAATTATGACTTCAGTTCTATTCTTAATGACAAGTAAAGAGGAATATGCAGAGACATAAACTAACTGTGAGTGGAAAGGGGTGGGAGAGGGATGATTAACTCCTGACTGTATTGAAGAAAGCAAGCTGACACTTCGGCCCTAATTAAGCACCTAAATAATTGAGTTCTTTCTTCTTATAAAGTACATTACTTTGTAGAGTATTAAAGTTCCAGGCAGGAAATCTTACTAGTTTTAACCCATGAACTTGATGGACTGAAGTAAAAGCAACTTTCCCGTTTTTCTTTGAAATTATCTCAGGAATTTGCACCCCCTTGTGGTCAAACATAAAATTCTTAGTTTTCAAAAGACCACTTTACAATTGGGCTCTTTGTTCAGGCATAGGAACTACAGTATATTAGTTGATTTTGTTTTCTCCCATTTTAGCAAATCGAGAAGCTTTCATGAAATAATTTTAGTTTCTTAAATAAGACTTTAAACACAATTGGATTTAAATCTTCTAAAGGTGACTTCCACATAAACTTCAGTCTCTGGAAAATAGAGATAATAATTGCACCCACTTCGTGAGTTACATGAGAATTCAATGGAAAAATGCATGTACATTCTTAGCCCAGTGCTTGACACAGATTAGGTCCTCAATAAATGTTATTTATCATCATCACTTTAGAATTCTCTTGACAGATTATATAAAGAAGGGGACCAAGATCAAAAATTCTACAGTGAGGAAAGTGTTACTTACCTATTTGTAAGTTCTAGTACAATTTTACAAATGTCTCCCAAATATACCACTTACCCAGACCACCCCAGCTGATTGTCCCCACAGGTACATCGTGTGTGTGTGTGTGTGTGTGTGTGTGTGTGATTTTATATGTATATATAAAATATACATATATAAAATATATATATATATATGTATATATATATATTTGATATGGAGTCTCGCTCTGTAGCCCAGGCTGGACTGCAGTGGTGCGATCTTAGCTCACTGCAACCTCCGCCTCCCCGATTCAAGCAATTCTCCTACCTCAGCCTCCCAAGTAGCTAGAATTACAGGCACAAGCCACCATGACCAGCTAATTTTTGTATTTTTTTTTGTAGAGATGGGGTTTCACCACGTTGGCCAGGCTGGTTTTGAACTCCAGACCTCGTGATCCACCCACCTCAGCCTCCCAAAGTGCTGGGATTACAGGCGTGAGCCACCGTGCCCGGCCAATACATTATATTTTTAAAGTACAAACGATATGTGGTTATCTTTGGATGCTAGAAATTTGGATGATTTTTACTTTACATATTTTAGATGGACCTGGGTTTTTTAACTTCAATCAGAAAACAAGAAAACAATTTTATTTCCATATATTATTCTTATGAGATGGTAAAATAAATTAACATCCTTATTTGCCTAACAGGGATCATTATTCATATTTGGGAAAAAAATCATTTGTCAGTCTGATTTATGATTTTAAGGGGCTCTTGAATAAGAATGCTAACCCCTGATGACACTAACTGTCGTTTGATTTTTTTTTTTTTTTTTTTTTTTTTTTTGAGATAAAGTCTCCCTCTGTCACCCAGGCTGGAGTGCAGTGGTGCGATCTCGGCTCACTGCAACCTCCACCTCCCGGGATCAAGTGATTCTCCTGCCTCAGCCTCCCGAGTAGCTGGGATTACAGGCACGTGCCACCATGCCCAGTTAATTTTTGTATTTTTAGTAGAGACGGAGTTTCACCATGTTGGTCAGGCTGGTCTCAAACTCCTGACCCATGATCCGCCCACCTGGGACTCCCAAAGTGCTGGAATTACAGGCGTGAGCCACAGCACCAGGTCTGTAGTTTGATTTTTAAAACAACTATTAAAGAAACCAGTTTAAAAGATCAGTGTTAATGACTGACTCACAATAACAAACATTTACTAATATGCCAAGCACTGCTGAAATTCCTTTAATATGTTATCTCATTTACATACTTAAACAACAACCCAATGAGGTATTAATAGTACTTGTTTTACAAAAGGTCCAACAGATAATTTACCCAATAAGGCCACACAGCTAGTAAGTAGTGGAGCTGGGATTCAAACCCAGGCAGTTCGGTTCCAGAGTCGGCCCACTTGAAGTGGTGCACAAAAGTACCATGAGATTAGGTAGTGTATTCATACTACTCTGCCACGTCACTTCTTGCCGATCTCAAATTGCTAAAATCCATTTCTTTTCCAATGCACCTCAATAATGCAAACCATGTCCCCTTCTCCCACTTCCTTACTTATTAGTACTTCAGGCACTTTCATATCTACAGTCTTATTTAACATTCACAATGAAGGCTTTAAAATATTTACAACTTTATTATTAACTATCACAGTGCCCATTTGTTTGAAGGTAGACAGGTTTGCCTAGATATTGTGCTTCTACTTACCAGTTATAAGACTTAAGATTTCTTAATCTGAGCCTCAGATGATCTCATCTGTAAAGTGAAGATAATAACTACTTCATAAGGCTGTTGTGAGCAATAAACAGGATTAATCCGTAAATCATTTATTTAGCACAGTGCCCAGCACACAGTACACAGTCAATACGTGGTAGCTGTCAGTTTACCAATGCGTAGCGCAACAGAAACTCGTCTTTGCTGGATTCAGTTCACTTACCACGCCATTAAAAAAAAAAAAAAAATCACCCTCAGTGACACACAAAAATTGCCCATTCCTATCCCGGAAAGTTTAAGGACAAGTAAGTCGGTAAGAAACTGGATTCAATGAATGCGCCTTCGCAACAGGCAGCTTAGGACAGGGAAGAAGGGCTTCAGCAAACTTAATCATTAACTTTAGGCAATGGCGCGCGCGCGCGCGTACACACACACACACACACACACACACCCTCACACCCCAAGGCTGTTAAGGCGGGAGACCACGCCTCCTGTGTGGGCTCAGGTTGGATCGTACAGCGTGGTAGAGAACCTCAGGGCTGCTGAATCTGACAGATGTGGACTCATCCACTTCCGTGCTACCTGTGCTGTCTTCGGCAAATTACTTAACGTCTCTGAGCCTAGGCTTCCTTGTCTTTAAAACGAGAATAGTTCCTACCTGGTAAAGTTGTTCCGAGGCCTAAGTGCGATAACACCTGTAAAGCGCTGGCGAACGGCAAGAGCTACACGCTGGCGGGGCCGTTTTAAATGCACGTGTATCCATACACAAGGTCTCATTGACACATTCCGTTGTTTGAAGTTTAGAAACTGGCTGTAAGATGTTTTTCTTTTTCCCTAAGCTGGACCCGTATTTGTTTACCTCCAACGTAGACTAAATGCCTGGGGACTGATAGCTATCTGTGGACCCTCGGCCCCACAGCCTCTTCGCTCGCTCCACCTCCACGGCTTTGCAAAAGCGCTACACGCACGCGCAAGAAAAGCAGCAGGAGGACTGCGACCGAGGAGGCGTAGGGAGAGCCGCGCACAACGATGATTCTGCGCATGTGCCAGGCGGGAGGAGGCGAGGGTTGGAGTTTGCGCTTGCGCAAAAATGTCGGGAAAGCGGGAGAAGAGGGGTTAAGAGGCGGTATTGACAGCTGTGGAGGCAGCCCGCGTTCCCGGCATGCCCCGGGGCGGCGGGGTTGGCTCTAACGAATTTGAATGAGGAGCTTCAGCGCTTTCGGCGCCATTTTCGAGTGATGCCTGATCTCATCAATCTAGCGGGAGAGACAAGCTAACCTGTCCGAGAGTATAGCGCCACTAGGACTCCGCCGGAAAAATTACTTTAAAAATCGCCAAAAATTAGTTGAAGCAAAGGGCAGTCGGCGGAGCTTCGCCAAGATTGGCGCAGTCGGTAAGAGCCTGAAGAAGTAGCAGAGGAGGACTCGGGAGGTGGCAGTGGTGGGACCCGCAGGCAGTCAGGGGGTGCAGGGAGTGGGCGCTGGGTCGGCTCTCAATTGCCAAAAATCTGAGGAAATAGGGTTAGGGGCAACTTGGGCATCTGCGAGTGGGCGGCAGCGGGCGGAATGTGGCGGGAGCGCAGAGAGACGGGGCTGTGGGGGGAGGGGAACTGCAGTTTGAGCGGGACGCGGACCGGCTGCGGCTGAGCTGCCGCCGCCCAGCGGATCTGTCAGCAAGACCCCCAAGCCCTGGGCTGGAGCCCGGAGGATGCGCGGCGGTGTCTCCGCAGGCGGCCGCTCCTTGACAGGAGGACTGGACACGCTCCCCTCCCCCTTTTCCGAACCGGGCCGCCTTTTCTCGCCGTTTTCCCGACCCGGAGATGGCCGTCATTTCTTGACAAGAAACTTAAGATCGGCAAAATTCAGGACCCGGAGTCATGGGTCCCTCCGGTCGGTGGCGGCGACAGTTCCGTCCGACACCGCCCGGTACCCATGTATCTATATTTTCTTTTGACGCTGAAGCGTGAGGTGCCCCAAGAATGAGAGTTTCCCAAGCCCTGGCCGCCCTCCCCCGGCGCGCCGGGTTCCCGTGAGGTCTCTAGGTATGTGGGACTGGCCGCGGCTCGCGCTTCCAATATGGGGCAGGGGCAGGCTTTCGAGGCTGTAGCCGGCTCTCAGGAAGGATGCTGGACTTTAGCAGCTTTCTGAGGACTTTTGTCATTTCACTCGCAGCGTAGTCCTTTCTCAAGGGGGAGGGGTGTTCACGGGTGAGATGAAAGATGGGGCTTCGAGCTAGCGATTTCCTTGTCCTGGCTATTTCCTTCTCCGCACTTTTCTTAGAAGACTTTTTTCCTCCGGTGTTTGAAACATGTCGCAAGGAAGAAAAGCAATCTACGAAACTATTAATATTTTCCTCCCACAAAACTCTTTACCCGGACGACTTAACGGTAATTTTGCGATCCCCACCTTTTCTTGGGAACTCTTGACGCTGAGGAGGAGGGAAGAGTTATTTATCTTTCCCTTTGGTGATTTTTTTTCTCCCCCTTAGCTGGTGGTTTCTATCAATTCCTACTCTGCAGTTCTTGAATGATGTGAGCCAGTGATGGTATTAACTTTAGGTAATACTTTTATGGCCTTTGTAAAAATCCCGCGTTAAGGATGTGTTAGATATTGAGTTCTTTTCCGCGCTGGAGGCGCCACTAGATTAACCCTTTGCCGGTGTACTGCGTGTGGGGTGCACGGCTCTGGGTTGCAAATATTCCGGAGATGCTTTTTGCAGCAGCTACTGTGTTCAATTGTTCGCAAAGAGGAATAAGGCTTCCTGCGAACTGCAGTGACACGCTTCTTTAACACTACAGTTTTTCCCCCTGGAATTGATATAACGAGTGATTTATATCTTATATTTCTATGAAGACTGGGGGACCCGCCCTCGCTTAGAATGTTTCCCGGAGGAGAATAGAAGAGTGCAATGTGATGTTTTTCAAATTGTGTCTAACGGAGCTCCCAAAACACTGGACTTGTTACCTCCTGATTGGCTGGAAGGAAGCGGGCCTGGGGGGTTTTGAATGTTGAACGCTAGATTATAATTCTCGACTTTCCTTAAAATTGTACTTTTAGCCAGAGAACCACAGAAATGGCTATGAAACGTTAGGACGAGAGTTTAGGGAAAAAGTTGGTTTTTAATACTTTTGTTTTTCTCCCAGAAAGGACTTTCGTATGGTTCTGAAATGCATATTAAAAGTAAAACTGAAGAGGCTGTTTACGCAAAATTAAGTCTCTGTTGGTTGAAATTACAAGACTTTTATGTATTTGACACTGTTCTTTATTGGTTAAAAACGGAGTGAAAAATTTAGTTTTTTTCCTTTGATAGGAGTTTTTCACCTTAAACTGCATGTATTTGTTGGATGCACATTACGGGACAGTTGTTTATTTTGATGGAAAGAAACTTCAATTTTCTTAATGTTCATGAATGATCTTTTTTCACATTTTCCACAAAAACTGAACATCTTATTAAAAAAATATTTCACATCGAATGAAAATGTACAGATTTTGCTAAGTCAGTAACTGCAGTGAACTAAAACTTTAATTTGCAAGACATTTATGTTTCTTAGACAACAGGTAAGCACAGGTGCGTATATATTATTTCGCTCCTTTAATAATAAATTCACTGAAGAAATATGTTGTCTACAACAGTGTGGGTGTGCTGTTTTTTATCTGGTTAATTTTCAGTTGATTTTTGTTCAGTGTTGCTTGAGACAGCCGTCAGTATATTTCTATTTATTACCAAGCTTGTCATTCCATTTAATTACATCTTGATAAAAGGCAGGTGTGATTTTCAAAGAAAAGTGATAAACTCACTGATAAACAGCTGTAGACACTTTAAGAAAGAATTATTTTAATTTAATAGAAGTTTATATTTTTTTATGAAAAGTAGTTGAGATTTTGAAGCTTATAATGTATGTTCACATTAAGTCCTATATGCATTGTTAGAAAATATTCAAATAAAAAATCTTACAGCTTTTATAAATCTCTGTAGGGCTGTAAATATAATTTATATTAGTAAGTGGAATAGCTGAGTTTATAATTCATGCTATTTTGTGTTGCCATCATAACAAGAATTGTGATAACAGAACCCATTTTCATTACCTTTGTTCAAAGCTATTTTGGGCCATCTCATGAAAATTTCATAAAAGGTGCTAATTATCTTCTCAATAAAATTTGATTTAATGAAATTGTAGGAGATTTCATTTCTATTTTAAATGTAATTAAACCTAAAGTACCTGAACTAGTGGGTTTTGCTTTTTACTGAAAGTTTTTGTTTTGAGTTTTGCATTTTCATTCAAATTATATGAGTTTGGGGGAGAGTTGGGGCAAGCTTTAAATTTAACCATATATTTTTAGCCCTTCGGTTTATAGGATTTTTTGTTTAGGGAGTGATGAGTAAAGGATTGTTTTGTTTAATAAGTCATTTTTAAAAGGAGTGATTCCTTTATTTAAAATACATCACTTCAAACTTGAGAACACACTAGCACCTAGATAAAATCCACAACATTCAAAATATTTTCACTTTTATGTGACGCTTCCTAAGAAGAAGATACTGGTTTTAGACTCGTGTGCATATAGATACAAGTTCCAACCAATGTGTATTTTTTAATGTTTATGTGCACTTATCCATATTTCTCTGTAGAAATTGACAGTTGTAATTTATTTTGTATTACAAGGATTAGTAAAGTCATTTCTTACCATAGGAAAGCAACTGCGGGGTGTAGTGTTGCTACAATAGGTCACCTCTTTTTAAAGCCTTGTTTACATATTGTGGGGAAAAGGGGACTAGAGAAGGTATCAGTCTTCCTAGTATCATTGATTTTCATTTGTTTGCCCCAACGCTATTTTTAAAAATTCAAATAAAAGTGCAGTTTCGAGTTATCAGTCTTCCTGGTAGCATTGATTTTCATTTGTTTGCCCCCACACTATTTTTAAATATTAAAGTAAAAATGTAATTTCAGACTTTTAAAAAATGCTATTAACTTATTTGTATACATTTACAAAATGTAGCCTCGGGTGTTTGTAACACTGCATATTTTTTCCAGTCAGATTAATATCAATTTTAATGTTTAGCAACAACTATAGCTAAGACTAAAAAATTTAAAGGAGCTTTCATATTCTGGATCCCTAGTTTCATCATGCTTTATGTACTACATTTTTGGTTTTTTTGTTTTGTGGAGACTCGTGTATATTTTTGTTTATTGGTAGGCAGTAACTATTTAGAATGTCATGGAATACTTAAAGCCAGAAATATGGGTCAGTTGATTTGGTTTACAAAATGAAAAAAAAAAATTCCCAGAGACTCTATTAGGTAATTCTTATATATGACACATTAGTTTTCTTCAAAAGAAGATGGTAAATGTATAGTTTTGGAAAAATTATTCTATAAAAATTTTTCTTCTTTTAAAATACTGCCTAAAATTGGCTCTTTTCTTTCTTTTGTCTAATGCAGCTTAAAAATTCACATATTGATTTCCTTTTAACCTCTTTTTAGAAGATACAGATTTTTGGTCTAATAACTAGAAAACACAGATTTAAGAAAAAAAGTCATACTTACAGTTTTGTGGGGGTTTTTGGTTTGGTTTTGTTTTTAATTCAGCAAACTTTGAAACACTGTATGCCAGGAAACTAATTTTGGCACATAATTAGAGCTCAAACTCAAACTATGACTTGCTGAAATTTTGTAGCCCCAAATCTCATAAGACCAAAGGAAATCAGTAATAAAATACCTCTTTATTTCAAATAAGCGTTGAAAATGAGATTAAGCATTCAATTTTTAGAAGTCACAGTATTAGAACTTTGTCGTGATTGTCTTAAGAGTAACAAGATTGATTTTTAGAATATCACATTACTGTTTATGTGTTTGTTTATCTCATTATTTGCAACTACAAATAATTGTAGATCCTTCATATAAATATTACTTTCTGGTAGGGAACTGAATTTTATTTATTTATTTATTTATTTATTTATTTTTTGCCTGGGTTGATTTTTTGTTTTGTTTTTGTCTGTATTAGAGATGCTTTAAAGGGTCTACCTTTTAGAAAGACAAGTTTTAAATATTGGAATTGATATTAAATATATATTTGAATTTTATTAATATTTCTTATCAAAGTATAAAAAGTTTATTATACTTTGGTTTATTTCTGCCTTATTTCACTAAAGAAAATTTGTACTGGAATAACTTGTAGTGGTTTCTAAGAATAAATAGTAAGCTGTATTTTGTAACATTTTAGATTTGAGTTTTACTATTTGGAGGTTTTTTTAATACTGTCTTTCTTTATCATACACATTGGTTTATCATTTTATGTCCAAACCTCTTTTGCTTCTTATTGCTTGTTATTTTCATCTCCCTACTATTTAAAAACTTAACATTTGACATGTAGTACATTTTGTTTTCTACTATTTCCTTCTATGATTTTTAAACTTAAGATACCTTAATTTTCAGAGTGCTTAAATATAGAAAACTGTCTATTTTGAGGAAGTCTCTGTATAAATGATTGTAATTTTTTAAAATGTCACGGTATTTGCATTGGTGTTTATGAGTTATGGATGATTGTGTGAGTTTTGTCATTATACAATCAAATATTTGGCAACAGAGGAATAAAGGGTTTTTTTAGTTTTTATTCTCTCATTTTCCTAAGCTATTAAATAAAAGTGGAAAATTTATTCAGAGCATTATGATTTACGTATAGTACATGATACACCTTTGGTAATTTAATACTTTTATATAATTGATTGCCATTGAATCATTATAAATCAGAAAGGTGAAGCAAATGAAAAACAAAAAAACATATGTATTCAGTTACATCTCACCACTACTTAGAAACATTAAAAAACCATTTGGTCCAGTAGTGGTCCGTTTATTATTTGTAAATATGTTAACTTGTTAAAAAAAAAATAAGCTCCACATTTTGATCTGTCAGGATTGTAATGTATTAAAATGTTTGGAAATGTAGATATTTTTTCACTTAGGCTTGGCAATATACTAAAGTTGAAAATATTGATAAATTCATAGCTGGGCATGGTGGCAGGTGCCTGTAATCCCAGCTTCTCTGGAGGCTGAGGCAGGAGAATCACTTGAACCCTGGAGGCAGAGGTTGCGGTGAGCCAAGAACATGCCACCGTGCTCCAGCCTGGGCGATGAGAGCAAAACTTTGTCTCAAAAAAAAAAAAAAAGAAAGAAAGAAAATAATAATGGTAAATTCTATCATTAAAACCTTTGGAGAGAAAGTTAAATTTTGTCCCTGTCCCTTCAGTAACTTTTTAAACTGTGTGAATTTTAAAAGTACAAATTATATTTCTGATATTCTCCTTATGAACTTGTCTTGTACCAGTCCTCTAACAGCTACCCGCATACACACTCATCCATACTACTTTGAACATGAATGCCCCAAAGAGAAATGAAAGCAGAAACATATTAATCTGATTTGTTTGAAGAGGCTTTAGATGATAAAACATATCACAGGTGTTTCTAATCAAGTTATTTCTGTTTTAAAAACATTTTCAAGTTAGAATTCCTCTGAACATAGGCAAGATTGGGGTCATTTTGAAGACCATACCTCTGTGTTCAGGGATCAACTGTAGAACTGCAGGAGATGGAAATCTGTTGAGTGTCTTCATGCTAAAATACATGACATTTTTATTACAGGTTTTGACCTGTAGGAGAGAACCAATTCTGGAGAACAACCTCACTTCTTTGATTGAATACTCACGTAATGCATTGGAACATGACACAAGATTAAGGTATACTAATGAATTTTAAAGCCATATAATTTTATGTCTTTGCAATATAATCAGACTAGACAATATGTAAAGCTGAAACCTACGTGAACTAAAATCAAATAATTACTAATAAACAGAATTCATCATGTGAAGTGGCCATAGCTGAGCTGTCTTGCTTATTAAAACTCCAGATTTTTTTTATACAGTTGATCTTCTCATCATCCTAAGATCCAACTCCAGCTGAATTTATTTATTCCAAAAATAAGTATATGTAGTAGTTTTTATTTTCTTAAGGTTGTTACTGCAGTGTACTCAGTAAAATTATGAACTTTTCATCTTGTAAAATGGAGAGTTTACATCAAATGGAATTTGGTGCTTGGCTCTTTGACAGGTGGTAGAGTATTAGATAGAGCCTACAAAATTAGGTCAGATTGATGAGAATATTTTAAGCAAATTTAATGTATTCCAAGTACTATCCTAACCAAAAGTGGCAATGTGGTTGAAACTGAAAAACCCACTTTCTTAAGCAGAAATTACTAGTATCTTACTTAGATACGCTGAGTAAAATATTTTGTTAATATCAAAAGTTGCAGACTCTAAAAATGAAATTATAGAATCCCTAAACCTTCAGTGATTTTTATAGTTTTAGTTGAAAATTTCAGATAGTGTTTAACTAATACAACTTTTGTTTTCTAAATGGTAATCTGGTATAGTGAAAATGAACTTATTGAACAGTATTACTAAGTATTATTTGGTTAATTCTTTCATAGTAAAGTATTAATCTTATGTATACATATATTTGTGTACATTTATTTAGAAACTATTTGCTAAAGTAAGGTTTAGTAACAGTACAATTTTTTATTTTTTTTACCTAAAAAATATTTGTATACTTCGAGGAAATGTCAAAGGTTTGTTTTTATGATGAAATTATTTAGCCTTAAGAATGAAGTATATTGTCATGATCATAGAACTGCTTTTAACTTCCAACAATGTAAAATTTTTAAAGATGAATTCCGAGATGTGTTTAAGAGTCAGTGTTGAAATACACAGCAAAATACTAAAAACTGAAATTTGATATTTCTATATTGTTGTATATTAGGTAGATAATCCAAGAATGAATCTATTAACAGTTGACGTTAAATAAAATGGAAAGATGTTTAGAAATCAGAGTTTAATATAAGGATGAAGTTTACTTTTATATCGGTGTCATACTGTAAGGTGGTTGAAATAAATATAAGGTATAGAATGTCTTCATATGTTTGAGATTTTTGTGAAAAAGCAGCTTAGTTTGAATAGGATGAAAATAAATAACAGTTTTTTTTTTTTTTTTTTCAAGTATTTCTCAGGTTAGAGAATATTAAGATGAAAAGTGGAAAATATGGTTACCTTAGTGTCTGGGAAAAAAATCCGGGTTCAATTTATCACTTTCATTGCAGGTATCTTTAGAAGCAGCCTTAATGAGTTAAATAGGAAAAGAGAGGCAGCATTTGATTTTATATTGTAGATAAGATATAAATCCACAGAGTTGTTCCTAATTTAGAGAGTTTATGATTTGTGATCTTTGAAGATAGCAAAACTTATTTATATTTAGCATCATATAGTTGTTCTCCCTATAGTTAATGTACTGGGTTATAAACTTCTGATAATGTAGCTTAGTAAATAATTTGGTATCTAAAAGAATCAGTACAAATATTAACAGTTAACTTGCATTTGGTCAATTCTTACAAGATGAGAAACTTTAACCTAATTAGGAGTATGTGTTATTTTAGGAGGCCAATTAACAAAAACTTCAACTGCTGTGTATGATTGGCTCTTTTTTAACTACCCCTTGAAGGGGGCAGTTAAAAGACATTTTGTAAAGATTTTGATTGTTTTAAATTTGCAGACCTGATTATCTAAATCTAAACCTTGATATGTGGTTAATCATGTCAGAATTTGGGGGAAGAGATTTATTGTGTTAATTTTTATCTTTCTTTCAGTGATTTGTATCTAATTTGTTCAGTATTTATGTTTTTGGCTAAATGCATAATCAGGGTTAAATAACATTCACTTTTGGGAAAAATTCTTAGGTGTCCCTAAAATCCAGTTATATCATCATTGTTCCTGTCTTACTGAAATAGTTTTTTTTAAGGATAGAAAGAATATTTGAATAAACCAGAATACAGATAACATATCTACATATGAAGGAAGTTAAAATTATTATTTGTCAGAGATGTGTAATGCTAGTTTATAAGGATATGTATGTTACATTTTAGGCAGTTTGTCAGCTATGACAATTTTCCTTAATAGAGGTTTTATATATTGCTGAGTATTTGTTAAATAATAGATACAGTTAACTTTTTAAATAAAAGTTTTAAAATATTTATTTGAAGCAATTTTGTATATGTGTGTATTTTGTGTTTTTTCTTAAACTAGCAAATAACATCCTTAACCTATTTCAGTTGTCTTTCTTCAAATAAGACCTAATGTATTAGAATTATATTTTCTGATAAGCATTTTTCAAAGGGTAAGCATTTTTCAAAGCATTTTTCAGAGGGTTCTAAATTTATATTAAATATGTTTTGAAGTGAAATTTCTATTCACAGCACCACAAACCACGGTTTTGATACTTCATTAACATATATTATTTGACTTAGTTTTACTTTCCTATTTTCATGGTTAGAGTCTTGGAAGAGAAACATGAAGCATGTTTCACATGTGGCTGCTGAGACTGATTAATCCCACTGGTTAGTACTTTATTAATCCACTTCTTTTTCCAAGTGTCTGAATTTTTAAAAATCTTTCTTTAGGATTTGCTGTTAGTCTTTTTTATCGCTTTCATATTAAACAAATATATTTAAAGTATCTTGTTATCCTCTGATCTTCAAAATTATTTCATTATTATTAACATTATTCCTCACGGAGCTGCTAAGCATAAAAATTACTTTTTCAATTTTGATGAAAAATAGAAGATTGGGGTTTGGTTTTGATTTTGTAGAAAATATGATCTAAATTAAAAATACTACTACTGTTTTATACTTTTATTTTAAAATATCTCAAACTTAGCCCTCTTGATTAGGTATTATTATTAAAGTTTACCAGCCAGTTTTAACCTATGTGGGTTTTTCTTTTTAATAGTTTATAGATGTCCAATTTTTTTTGACTTTTTATATTTTTCTGAATCACAAATTGCTTAAGGCTCTAAAAAATGAGTTGCATTTAGATTTAAAGCTGTAAGTCTATAAATAGCATCACATTACATTTAAAGGTAATTGAACAATGAATAGTTCTATTTGTTACTAATCAATACTATATACTTACTAAGTTTTTAACTTTGTATTGCATATTTAAAACAGGTAAATTGCATGTGGAAGTGTTTTTAATGGGATTTATGAAAAACCATTATGAACTAAAATCTTGTTTCTTTGCTAATAATGTCTAAAGTCAAACATACTGTAATTAGATTTTGGGTACTTGGGAGCCGGAGGCATTTTGTAAGCAAAATAAAGTGTCATTTCTTGATTGGAGTTTGACACTTTCTTACTTTCCAGGAGAATGGGTAGAGAAGATACTCTCTTTATAAATTTACCCCAACATTGGTTAAAACTCTTCAGAGAATTTTGATAATTAAGCAGTTAAATCTAAACTACAAGCTAAAGATTATTGTATATATCATTAATTTTTCCTTGCCTATATTTTAGGTTCCCTTTCTAATCAAAACACCAGTTTTGTCTTTTTTTCTCTCTCCACGCCACTTTTTTTTAAGAAATTCTTTTAAAATTAATTTTACCATGTAGTGATAGCAGACCTGGTAGGTAGGTAGATCTCTGAACCATTTTTCCTTTGTGTGTCAGTTGCATATTCTTTTCTCAGCTTACTGTTTTAAGCAGCAGCAGCAGCAGCAAATAAACAAGTTATCACCACAGCCCTTGTTCTTACCCCTTACAGCTGGGAGCAGAGGCTGGGAGATCGATGCTGCTTGTCAGCTGTTGTGCAGAATAGCATCAATATGCAATAATGGTGGCCAAAGGAGCCTGCACCCATTCGTTTTTACAAACCCAGGTGGGAAGATCCCCACTGTCACTGTACCACATACACAGTATAGAGAATACATTCTTTGGCAGAAAGGTTGCAGCATAAAGAGAACAGTAGTTGCTTGTAGTTCTTAGACTCTATTATTTTTTAACTATTTGCTCTATGGCTTTAGTTCATTTAATTTTTATTCAGTTAATTCCATCTGTTAGAATGGAAAACTGTCTTGCTTTTGGAGATATATATTTTATGTTTCATGTATATATGGTATGTTTCATGGTTTCACTTTTAAGCTGGTAGACTGAAAAAAAAAATTAATAATTAGTTGCTGATATCAAGTTAGATAATATGTTGAGGATAGAAAGAAAAGTTGGCTGTCGCCACACAGTAGTGTTTCTTCACTTTTGGACCATATTATCTTTGTTTTATAAAAGCCCAGTCTAACAAGGCTAAATTCTTAATTGCACTATAATAGAAGAAAACAACATTCTATGTTAACTTGGTGTTGTCTAAAAGCAAGCCACAGATGAAAACTTATGTCTGTTTTTTCTTACTACTATTTACTTTTTCTATATAACATTTCTCATTGAAATACCTTTTATCTGAAAGCTCAGATTATTCTAAATATTTTGGAAACAGGACTTTGTAATTTCAAATAATATAAAAGAATGTTTTTATTTTTATCATTTAAATTTGCACAGATTTGTATGACCTAAATACTCATTTTTTTCTTCCTTTTACATCTAATTTCAATAGGTTAGAGATACAGGGAAGTCTAACTATTGAATTTCTGCAAATGTTCTGAATTTATTTGTAGAATTCTTGGTGGGAAACTAATGACTTTTTTCTTTTTTGGTGTATAAAGCCAAATTGCAAGTTTGACATTTGCAATAGCATTCTATTTAAAAGATAATTATAGTTGCTTTCTGCTAATCTTCATTAAAATCACTCCTGATCACTCTAAATATTTTCCTGTGCCAGTCATAGTAAATTCAGAATATTAGTTCCCTGGTAATACTGTTTTTAAAAGCTTTGTCATAGTATGTGCTTAGTTATCTGAAAAAATAAATGAGCCCACAATCTTTTCTGGCATTGTGAAATCAAGCATTTTCAGCCATAAATTGAGGTTACTTTTGTTGATGTTGACTAATGCTAGAGGTTTTTTAAAAAATATGTTTATGTAATTTAACAGATAATATATTAATTACTGTTACCTCCCCTAACTATAACATGAGTTATGTAATCCTTTCTGTTGAAAACACATCATTTTTAATCATTTCTTACTGCTTAGTGCCTGCGAACCTCCTGTATGAGAATAACCTAGAATTTAAAAAATAAAAACATTTTTCCAGACCTGGAACTTGCACTTTTTACAAGCTCTAAGACATTTTTCTTAGGAGCACCACATGTGTGAGAAGCACTTCCCAAAATGAACTTGGGGGAAGGATTGTTCATACCAACAAACTGTCTTTTTTTCCTGCATCCTTTTTTCCCTCTTTGGTCATCTTGGATTTAAGCTCAATATTTAATTAGGAATCTTATCATTTCTATTACAATAGTTCTAGATTAAGTTCTTGAATCTTAAATTCAGCTGATTAAAAAAATAGATTAAGTCTTGGTATTTCCTCAATCATACGAGGAAAATCAGTGTTATCAAAGTTTTATTTTCATGTAAATACCTTGGGCCAAATTTCAGTCTATTCTCTTTGGATCATTTAGTATGCTTATGTGAAACCAATACTTGATTAAAAACAAAATGAATTGATCGCTTATGAATTTTTAAATTTTCATATAGATAGTAGTTGTTTTTTAAAAATATACTTCCAAATGTTGGAGGAAACATAAAATGGGGAACTTTTCCTATGCTGCTTGTGGAAACATTTAGCAATATCCTTGTAAAGTTGAAGATACAATAGGCTTGAACCCAACAATTTAATTCCTAGATGCTCTAGATAAACTCAGATGTAGAAAATAGTCTTGGTTATTTTTAACAGGAAAAAAATGTAAATGTTAAGTAACAAGAGAATGGCAAGTTGTGACATAGTCATGTGATGAACTGTATAGCTATTAAATGAGAGCTGTGTTTATCATCATGAGTGCATACCCTACTTCAGCAAACAAAAATGAGTTGCATAAAGGTTACATACAGAATAACATGTGAAATATGTATATTATACCATTTATCTAAAGCTTAAAAACAATGATAAAGTTTAAATTCTTGAATTGGTAATAATACTGTAAAAACATAGGAAATAAATATCAAATTCAAGATTGTGATTGCATCTTTGGAAAGTGGAATGGAATCAGGGTATAGCTCACAGGAACATCATCTGTATATGTAATCAATTTTCATAAAAGACAAAGTAAGCATGGCATATTATTAGATTTTATTAGAGCTGGATTGGGGGTCCAGAGACAGGATGTAGAGGTTCATTTTGGTATTCTTTTGATTTTTCTATGGATTTTGAAGCAAATGATTTTGAAATTTTTAAAAACATGCTGTTCTTTTTTATAAAGATTAGTCTACAATAAAATGTATACTTCTAGTGCTCCATTAAGAACATGGATGCGTTTATCGATTCTTTCTATTCTGTGTCTTGTAGTAAATGCTTAACTATTGTTGATGTAAGAACTACAACTGAGAATCATGACCCATAGAAACTAAACATTCTAACGAACTCAAATTGCTAGCATATCTAAAAATATGTCATATGTTCCTGACTTTGTGTACTTGGAATTGTGTAACATACAATACATGGATTATAGATTATGCAATTGTATGTGTGTGAGAAAGATTAATCAGTCTTGAGACATGATCTTGAATTTATCTTAAAATAACTGCAATTATATGGTATTCTTTAGAAGCTCATTGGAGTCCAAGTTAGAGTTTTAGCTACATTTAAATTTTTAGCTTAAACTTCAAAAGGGCAATAGTAATAGAAAAGCAAATTTTAAAATCCAGTGACAAGCGGGATGTAATGATATGCAGGCCTGTAATTCCAGCTACTTGGGAGGGTGAGGCAGTAGGATAGCTTGAGCCTAAGAGTTTGGGCTGCAGTGAGTTGTGATCACGCCATTGCACTCCAGCCTGGATAATAGAGCAAGACCCCATCTCTTAACAGCAGCAACAAAATAACAAGAATGCTGCACTGAGCTGAAACAGAAATGCTGCTGAGTGTTTATAATCTATGATTGTTCTGTGCTGCATAAGGATCAGAATACAGTGGTGGCAATCTCAGTTGAAATGTTCTAACTTACCTAATGTGATCACATTTTTAAAATCTTCCCTCTTTTTCCTAGGTTTAATAATGATAGAATGAAGACCATAATAAAAGAGACCTCTACTTAGTCAGCAATTCTTACCTTGTAAGTATTAACTCTGAGTCTCCCAATCATTGTTATAAAAAGTTACTGTTTGGTGTCATGTTCTGGTTTATTTCTGATTTTTTTTTTTCCTGCTTATCCTAGTATGGTAACTTTCTAACCTCCCCTAACCCTCTACACCTTGAGATTTGATGTTAATTAATAGTTTAAAGTAAGAATAATGCCATTGTCTTGGTAAGCTATTTAGGGAGGTATTTTATTGCCTGGCTCTGTCATCTCCAAGTCTGAGAATCACAATTTTGAGCCCTTTTTCTTCAAAGGAATTAACAAATAAGTAATTCTCTTTTTTACTACCATTATTATACAGGTTTATTGATCTTACGATTTTATAAATTGAGAGTTTTCTCTCTACTTGAGAAATGATTTGTTAGAAATTGTTTTTAATTTCATTAGATTACACTTGAGACTTTGTAAAGAGCTTAACATTTAGCTGTTAAAACTTGAAGAGGTTAGAGAAATATGAAGGCAGTCCTTTTTCCTTCCCTTTTTAAAATTTTCATTTATTCAGTACATATTTATTGAGCATCTGCCATGTTCCTGGTACTTTTCTAGGAGCTGAAGATATAGCAGTGAACAAAACAGATAAACAAGTAAGTACGTAAATTAAAGCATTTCTGACATGGTTTCAAAGTCAGAGGTTTTGGGTAGGGGCCAGGACCCTGCAACTTTAGTAGGCTCTTCCTGAGAAGGATGACAGCAGCTCATCTGTGGTCCATACTGTAGAGAAGCACAGTGTAAAGAACCCACTCCAGAGAGCCAGAGAGCAGTGTCCAGCTGGAAGTCCCCCTTTCTTCTGTCAGAGAAGTTTGCAGAAGTGAATGCAATGGATAGCAACACCCCAGTGATATCTTCAGGGTGGACAGGAAGGCAGTCTGTTTGGTTGAAAGTCAGGAGCAGGCATCTTAATTATTCAAGACATCATTTCTCACCCTGGAGTGCCCCATCACCTCCCAAACTAAACCTCACATATTTATTGCAAATATCAAAATGACAATTTGTTTTTCTCCTTTTTCCTTCCTTTTGTATGTACACATTCATACCTCTTTCTTATACAAAGGAACATTTTTTCCCCAATTCATTTAACTTTTGAGACACTTAAAAATGCTAAAAGAATAATTCTAACAAGTTAACTGAAATTAATATTATGCCTCTGGAAAAACAAGATCAAGGGCATATAAAATGCACGAGATACTTATTTCCATAAAAGTATTTGAGATTCTATAATCAGTTACCAAAAAACGTCATTTCCATCCATTCCTTGAGCTAATTCTGCGTCTCTAAAGAAAAACTCACCTGCAAGACTTTCTGTTCTTAATGATGTTGAGGACATGGCTCTATTTAAATGAAACTAGTTCTTCAGATGCTTTCATTACATTATCTCACCCAGTGACTCAAATAATGTGTATGTGTTGGGCGATGGCCTTATGATCATAGATGATTAGCCGTTGAACTCAGTAAGGTGAGAATTTTTAGGTAGGAGATCAGTTAAACATTGAAAACTGTTAATAAGAAGCCAGTTTGCAAAGAAGTTGCCAAAATGCCACAGGTCACTTTCTTTTTCTGATTTTCTCCTGGTTACATTTTTGTCTCTGGAAAATTAGAATGGAAACATTTGCAAATCCCTAAAGAATCCTATATAGTCCAGGCTTGGATTCCTTAATTAGTCCCTTGGAAGCCAGCACAGCCCTTCTTCAACTTAACTCTTAGAAAAAGAAGCCTTTTTAAATCGTAATACACTCAAGACTGGAGGACAGTTCACTTTTCAAAAAGAAATAGGTATCATTTAGTTTCTAACAGATATATAAGCACAGATAACATCACATTCTTAACATCATTTCATCTCCTTTATAAATTTCTAAGCAAGCAGTCTTGGATACTTTCCAGCATCTTTTAAACATAGGCCATTTGTCATATTTCATAGTTGGAATGCTTTCTATTGTCTGTTCTAGGTAAATTCCATTCAGATTCTAAAATAGTGACGTTTTCAATTAAACAATACCCAGAAAAATAGGTACATAGTGACTGCAGTAGTCAGCGATCCTGTGTGATGGTGTCTTCTCTCCTTTTTTTATTTTTTTTTTTTTAAATGTTTGTTTAATGCCATTATTTCTTTAAGATGGGATTTTTTTTTTAAGCTGTTCATTTGTGGAATGTGGATGTTCTAGAAGTTGTAGAATAGTGATGTTTCTGTATACAGTGCTTTCAATTAATGGCAGTTTGGGGTTCACTTTTACAAATTAAATATAGAGATGGAATATTTTTCAAGTTTATTTTTCAATTTAGAGACCTTAAACTTTCGTTGCCTAACAAAAAATTGAGAAATAATTATATGTCTTTTTTTCCTCCTTTTTCTTTTTTGAATTATTGTGATTTTTCGTATTGCGTTTTTTGATAGACACTTAAGTTATATATTTCTGTTTGTAAATGTAAGCATATTTTTACCTGTAAATGTAATTACATGTTTATATCCGTTATGTAAATTTTAATGTATCACTTGGTGCCTAAAAAACATTTTTAGGTGCTTTGTCAGCAGTTAAGAACAGTACATCTCTCTTTTTAATAATCTACAACAATAAAAATCTTAAAACATTGACTTTATACATAGGGAAACGAAAGATGAAGCACAAAATTTACCAGTGCTGTCAATGTTAGTCCCATAAACAAAAATGATAGAGATAAATTACTTCCTAATTCCAAAGACTTAGTAAATTGGCTGCTATCAAGAGCAAGACTAATAAAAAGAAATAAAAAACTATTTCTCACATATGACTAGTTATCAAGATAAGCTTTTAGAAGTATTATCAAGTTAGCAATAAAAGCAATGACATGTAATCATACCAGTCTAGAAAATACTGTCAATTGTTAAATTATAAATAATACAAATGTAGGACTGACTGAAAATACTGCAATAAAAAAATGACAATGTTTCAATCCGTAGAGCAGTGAGTAATCAATGATATGGCAGATGATACAAAATCTGTTGTGCTTTCAATAAAACCATAATGATGTAATTATAGTATGCACTACACATAGCCAAAGATTCTCCTATTTTTAATTATTGTGATAGAAATTTACTCTTGCGTAAATTGCTGTCCACCTTTGCCACTGATGAGGAAGTTCCAGTTATCTTTAGTAGTTTAAAAATGGGAATGTTGCTGGGCATGGTGGCTCACGCCTGTAATCCCAGCACTTTGGGAGGCTGAGGCGGGCAGATCACCTGAGGTCAGGAGTTCAAGACCAGCCTGACCAGTATGGTGAAACCCCATCTTTTTTTGTTTTGTTTTGTTTAAAAAAAAGGGAATGTTTCTGAGAGAAGGGAATTTGCCAAAAGAGAAAAAGTAAGTTACTCTTTTGTTAGTTGGATTAGTGGTGAAGAGTGTTATAATCCAAAAAATTCAAAGCGGTACAAGCTACTATCAACATTTGATAGTAAAGGGAATGTCTTATAAATCTATTCATATGTTGAAGTGTCGTTAATTTAGTGAATATATAAAATCTAGGCTCTTGTGTAGTCTATGATTAATGAACATAAAGTTCACAATATGTTTCAGCTGCTTTTCATTGTTCAGGTAATTGCTATTTTTGAGAATTAGACATTTAATCAAAATGCCAGGTATTCCTTGTCCTCATTCTTACATATTTGTCATATATATGTTTAGCAAAATTATTGAGTGAAATATTAGCTTTTATGTTTAAGCAATGGCTGTGTTTTTGCTGTTAATAAAATTGCAGCCATAAAATTTGAATTTTAATGCTAAAATTATAGAAAGGAGTTGGGCTTGTTTCCTCAACCTGAACAACTTCTTAGTTTCTAGATGGATGATTCAAAGAGGAATAACAGGGATTTTTTAATTTATGAAGTTATTTGGTTTTCTTAGGAAAACAAAAACAAGGTAGAATTTAACAGCATGGGGCCTGATTTAAATAGAATATAATCGTACAGATATATTCAACTCTGCTGTCATGGGCTCTCAAGTTATAAACATAAATGCAATAGGTAATATCCCATGACTTATTCTATGTACTTTTGCCCTAATCTACTACCTATTAGTCTGAATCTTGAGTTTTTAAACTTAATCTCCATGTAAAAGCAAAATAAATTGAATGCAGAATTAAAATATATGTTGTCAGTTATTACACCTGATTTTTTTACCTACACTATAAGCTTCGTTTTTCCTGTTATATCCAGTAAACTAAATTAATGCTTATTTTTCTGTTAAATTACTTCAAAATATCTTATAAAATCTCAGTTTTTTAAAGTAAAACTATTTGTAGCTCTTAAAAATGAAGTTTTGATATATTTAGCAGTATTGCCACTAAGAATGCCATCCTTGGCCAGGCGGGATGGCTCACGCCTATAATCCCAGGACTTTGGGAGGCCAAGGTGGGTGGATCATGAGGTCAGGAGTTCAAGACCAGCCTGACCAACATAGTGAAACCCAGTCTGTACTAAAAATAGAAAAATTAGTTGGGCATGGTGGCAGACACCTGTAATCCCAGCTACTAGGGAGACCGAGGCAGGGAATTGCTGGAACCCAGGAGGTAGAGGTTGCAGTGAGCCAAGATCACACCACGGCACTCCAGCCTGGATGACAGGTGAGACTCCATCTCTTAAAAAAAAAAAAAAAAAAATTCAAGTACTCTATCACCAGAACTCAGTTTAAAATGTTTAGGGAGGCTGGTAGTGGTGGCTCATGCCTGTAATCCCAGCACTTTGGGAGGCTGATGCATGTGGATCACTTGAGGTCAGGAGTTCAAGACCAGCCTGGCCAACATGGTGGTGAAACCCAGTCTCTACTAAAAATACAGAAATTAGCCAGGTGTGGTGGTGGGTGCCTATAATCTCAGCTACTGGGGAGACTGAGGCAGGTGGATTGCATGAACGCAGGAGGTGGAGGTGTACTCCAGCCTGGGCGACAGAGGGAGACTCCATCTCAAATAAATAAAATGTTTAGGAAAATAATAATACTTTTTATAATAAT